AGTCTTGAAGACAATGATTAGCTGGTTCAGGTGTGTTTGATTAGGGTTGGAGCTATCCTCTGCAGGACACCGGCCCTCCAGGACCGAGTTTGGGCACCCCTGGATTAAAGACTATTGATTATACTCCACATTTCCCTCGTGCTCCTTCCAACAGCGTACCGTGACAAATGCATTACTTTAAAAAAAAAATTTACAACAAAATATCTGAGTTACTTTTTCCAAGTAAATAGCACACATTACTCGTTTTTTAATTTATTAACTGATGCCTCTTCTGTGCCCATGCTGAAAGAAATAATAAAAAAAGGTATAAATTTAACTTCACTGTTGCTACTTTTTTTCTCTTTTCATGGTAAAATTATGGTAACCACAACGGCCTTTATTCACAGTTTTACATTTAATCAACAGTATCTGATAATCAACTAATGATTTCACTGGATCACACTTAGAATGCCGTTTCTCTCATATGTCTCCCCAAAAAGAATGCTTTAAAACCATTTTTTTTCTAAACCAAATTGACATCTTTTACAGAGGGGACAGTGGTAAGCTACTGTAATTTAGCATGTGACAGAAATATATCAGTTAACTCAACCTCTCATGTAATAAATAAGTGCCAATTTACTACTAAGTAAGTGCTATCTGGATACGAATGCATGTTAATGCCAGGTGTTAAGGAGGCCTATGATATTCTGGTCTCTAAATATGGTGCGGGTCCTTTCTTCACTGTAAGTCTACATTTTATGTGCAAACAGCATGCTACTTAGGGATGAGAGTAAATAACAAATTCAGTATGCTACAGTAGTCATATCATGAAATCAGTACAATCACTACTACTCTTATCACCAACAATTGAGAGTAACTGTCAGCAGTGGTGGCGAGACTTAGAAAGAGCAACCGTCCGGTGCAGGACCTTCTCCCTACTAAGTTAAATCATCAACCTCAATCTGTAATGCCATTCTGTGCTCCAAAGAGAAGTGAACCCCAGAGAGCACCAAGGTCAGTGTCCAACTCGAATCCAAATTACAGTCAGGAATGAGTATAGTAACCAGTGTCCAGTATAGAGCGAGTTCTGTTAGATAATGTCTGTAGTTAGGCAACTCTCACGCTCTTGCTATCACACCTCTTGCTCAGCAGTGACCATGTGACCCCACCAACCCTTGCGGTAAAACAAATGAGATGAGATCTCAGCAGTTTAATTTCTCATCATGGGGCCAGTGGTCAATACCAACCCATTTCTTGTTCCTTTAATCATTCTCTTTTCCTTTTCTTACAAACATATTATCCTTCTTCCTGCTTGTCTCATCTGTTTTTTCTGTTGCTTGTGCTGCTCTTTTTCTTTTCTTTCTTTTTAACTATAACAAATCAGTTTTCGGCTTTCTCTTTAGCCAAAGACCCCAGTGAGCCTGTTTTCAATTTAGCTTTCATCTGTGTGCTTTCGATCATTCTCTTTTTGGCTATAAATTGCCATTCAGTTCTCTTCTATCTCAAAGGTCCAGCAATTTTAAACTGTCTCAAAGCAGCCAATAGCTTTCCTTTGTGTGTACCGCTGGCATTAGAGAAGTGTAGTGAAGCCTGTTGCACATAACCAATTATCAGTAGCTTCAAGACCACAAGCACAGCCGAAAAATGACAGAATCACATTTGACAAAGTAAGTCTGATGATAATAAACACTTCCTGTTTTCAAATGGTTTCAAATATTGTGCAAACACTGTTTGTATTTTACCCCCGTAATTTCAGCATGCATGTCAACTGCTTTAATTAAATTATATTAGCCTATTTTACATGTATAACTGTATTTACATTTATGCATTTAGCAGATGCCTTTAAACTAAGTTATATTGTTTATTAAGCTTTTACTCTTAACAGAAATTGTCACTTTATAGCTTCAATACTTAACAGCCGGCTTTAACTTCCATGTCCAAGTCTATACAGTATGTGCTATCAGTTTTGCATTGTACTCTCTTGTGAGAGACTCTGCAGTTGCTCTCGATGCTTTCTTTAGAAACACAAAATTTCCATTCTACTGAGCGGTTAATGAAGCAGTAAAATGTTTCTCGACAGATTACACGTAGGTTACAGCAACAGTACGAAACAGGAATTCATATTGCTGGTTTACAGGTACAATATCTCCTCGTATTGTGAGCAATACGGCACCTCGCTGAGCTTTCTCTGTGGCAATTCCCATCCATTAGCTCTGAGCACTTCATTTTTCAGAGGTTATCAGGGCCGGGACAGAGGGTGGCAATAATGAAAAGCAAGTAAAAGCAGTGGGGAGAGAGAGAGAGATGGCTGGCACAATCAAACTTATTGAACAGGAACAACCTCAATGAAAATTCACAATAGTGACAAGCTTGCTAACAAGAAAGCCCACATTAGTTTAAGATTTATATGCTGAATATTTATTGCTTATTGTTAGGAGTAACTTTGTAAAAAAAAAATCGATACTGGAAAATGAAACAGTGATTGATCACACTGAGAAACACTATAAATGTACACAAGCTTTAGTAAAGCATTCTGCATTTTTAGAAAAAGAAAGAGAAAGGTAACTTCTTTCAGATTTTTTTCAAGTGATAGCACATCCATTGTCTCTATGACATGGTCTTATAGGATATAAGCACTTACGCTTACTGTACTTTCACAACATTGTGACAGACTACTACTAGTGTATTAAATAGTCTATCTTACCCGCATCTCCTGGGCCTCCTTCTGACCATCCCAGGCCCAGCTGCGCTTTGTGAAGTAGTTGACAGTGGCAAACTCAATGAGAGCAGAGAAGACAAAAGCATAGCACACTGCCATAAACCAGTCCATAGCTGTTGCATAGGCCACCTTTGGAAGTGAGTTCCGGGCACTTATACTCAATGTGGTCATGGTCAGGACAGTTGTGACACCTAAAAACAGAAATGGTTAAGTGTTAGATGTCATGGTCAAGATAACAGAAAATGTGGAGCAATCTTTTTACAACGTCAGTTGCTGTTTTAGTTGATTTAGTCAGTGTATCTAACCAGCAGTGACTAGGAAATGATGTGAAAGAATAATGCCACCCTAAATGGAACATCAGGTTGCAACCCAACACAGTACCAATATTGTTTAACGCAGTGGATCCCAACCATGTTCTTGGAGCCCCCCAACACTGCACATTTTGCATCTTTACTTTGTCTGACACACCCATTTCAGGTCTTGGAGTCTCGACTAATGAGCCGATGATCTGAATCAGGTGTGTTTCATTAAGGAGACATGGACAATTTCAAAGCGTTCTATATGCAATAATTTATTCAATTAACATTAATTATTAATGCAATAAATTGTAAAAAACAAAGCAAAAAAAAACTTTTTGTTGCATTGTATTATTTGTTCCATTGCTGTCTAAATCCATAATAGTTCTGTGACATATTTTTGGATTCACTTGTTGAGAACCACTGTGTTACCAAATGTTGTTATCATTTACTCCTCATATCATTCAAATCCTGTTTGAGTTTCCTTTCATGGAACACAAAAGCAGATTGTCAGAGTTGCTTTTTTCCAGACAAAGTCAAATCAAGTAAAATGAAAGATTGTGATTTGTACTGTCAAGCTTCAAAAAGCACTGTAAAAGCAGTTCATATGACTTCTGAAGATTTCTGCAGTTATGCAATAGCATTGTGCATGAAGCCATCACTGAAAATCTATGTAGGGTCATGGAAATGCAGGAGCCTATCCCAGCATCTCGGCCCATAGACAGGGAAACATCCTGAATAGATGGACTTACACTTTCACACCCATCAACAATTTAGTGTTTCCAGTTCACCCATGCTGATGTCTTTGGATTGTGGCAGGAATCAGAACACCTGGAGGAAACTCATGCCAACATGCAAACTCCACACAGAAAGGTCTTAAACCAGGACGGTTCTTGAGATGACAGCACTATCAACTGAGCCACCACGCCACCCTGGTTTCTACCACAGCTTGAGTAAAGCTCAAAAAACATTACATGATAATGTAATGTATATGTTAGTCTATGGTCTCAAAACATCTTTTACAACTGTGATTAGAACGTTTACTGAATATTTGTGAGAGTTTCAAGGACAGGTGCATTTATAATATATACCACTTTATTTGTAAGGTGTTTTAGTTGATTTCACATCCAATGAAAGCTCTTAGCACTGGGATTCATGCCAATGTGCAAAGTGTCATAGGCTAAAAAGAAGCATCCTAATAAGTGATGGGAGCTTTTAAAGGAACTGGGAGTAAACACTGGGAATGTGTTGCTCTGAAACCACAATGACATTCATAAGAAAATAGAATGGCCCTTAGATTGCAACATGTATCAGTGATGAGTGGTGACTTTTTTTATCCGGGTATGCTGTCTAATTTATTAATTTATCAGAGACAACAAATAAGAAACTCCATTGCAGGTGTCGATGGTGATTCTTATTTAGTGTTTCTTGCACACACACACACACACACACACACACACACACACACACGAGTGCTCTGACAAACTCCATTGCAGACGTTTTTTTAACCATATTTTATCATTGTATTGTAAAATAGTTTTGAAATAAGTGCTTTTACAAGAGATGAGTAATGTTTTGCATGCTGTGTGCATGTTTTGTGGTTTAGTGTGAGTTTAGAGAAAATGAGTTTCAGTATAGGTTCAGAAATTGTAGGCAATAATAAAAAAATAAAAAAATAAAAACTGTAAGCGATAAACTGATTTGACTCTTTTCCTAAACTGCAAGTTATTCATCATGTGAAACTTGAAATTAACTGAAAACCAAAACTGTGTTATGTGTACTTAAAGCTTGTGTAAATAATGTTGTATTTTCTTCTTTGTGAATTCTAAATGATAAATTCAGTTGGCATCCTCTGCCTCGCAATTTTGTGCATAAACTTTTGTACAATTTTGTGTATAAACATATACTACAATTTCCAAACTATTTGCATGTGTTTGTGAAAGTATTTTTAGTAAAGCACCCACAAAGCGTGAACACAAAATTCCTTAGATTGTGCAAATTAGTACCCTTTATTTGGAATCTTAGTAGATGCCATAATGTGTATGGATTTCTGATTGTAATATCTGTTCTTTTGGAATGACTCACCATTTGACAACAAACTGCTGAGGGCAGTAAATGCAATTACAATAGCATTTCTTACAGAATGTCAAAATACTTGGTTATCGCCCCTTCCTGTGTAAACTGGGTGACTTTATCATGGACCAACACCGATGTTTGGCTCTATGAGACTAGTGCTCTGGTGATGATTACAATCTGATGAATCTAAATTTCACTAAAATAACTGGCAACATAAATCAGCTGTGATATTAAATCATGTTTCACAGGCCCTTCAATTCTGCAAAATTTAATTTGATGATAAGGGAAAAAAAAATCAAAAGAGAGAAAATAGCTCTGAATAGATGCAATATATGCAATCGTCTCTCGGTCTGTTACTGCCCACTGGCTTAGAAGAGAATGCAAATGGAAGACACTGATATATTATTACCAGAGGGGCATTCTGCCTGCAGTGCAAATAAAACTACATAAGAATGCTACATAAATAAAACACAGCTGTATAATGTGTAATACATGGTGTGCTGTTGAAATGAGGCTGCTATTCAAATGAATACTGAGCGCTGTTTGCTCCCATAAACATCAGTGGCTGACAATTAAATTGAAATCTATGGCTGATGAGGATCTGTAGAGTGTCAAAAAGTCGAATGGCAATGAAGATTCTCATTAAACTTTTCATTAGGCATTATTTCCATCTGGAAATGGAGTGAAAAGCAATGGGAACATTAGAAAGAATGTCACACAAGGTGCTATTCTCTCTGCAGAGACAGTTGCCTATTATGTGCAGTGTGTGTTGAAACCATAAATTACACATTACACTGTGGAGCTGTGAAGAAAATGACAAAACAGGATTATCTGTGTGAAATGTCAGGTTTGAACCATCAGAGGAGATCTGAGAAACTGGCAGCTATCCAAAGATTGATTAAATATCAGTCTCAAAGTGATGTTTGTGAGATGATGCATCAGCCTAGAAATACTGACACAGGCTTTGCTTTTTAGTGGCGTGGATGAGATGTTTTCTTCTGTGCGTAATTTGAACAGTAGCCAATTCCAAGGTCATTTTTTCAAGAACCATGTTTGCTTCATGATTCTTTAGATACTTTTTTAACATACATCCTGGCAGCCTATAAGGGTTATCATATATATATATATAATCTACCCTCAAAACCCCATTTCATAATGGGGAAATTAAATTTGTGAAAAGAGACTGAGGAGCCCAGAGACACCAGATATTTGCTAAATATAGCAGAATGAAAAAAACAACTCAAATATTACATTAATAAGTATTTGAACCCTACTTACTATGACTCTTTGACAACAAACTTAGTTTATCTGCATTTAATTTCTCTGGATAATTGTTAGCATCTTTCTACACTTTGGTTGGACTCCACCTGTGGTAAATTTGATTGATTAGACATGATTTGGAAAAGCACACACCTGTCTAAATACTGTCTAACAGCAGAAAAATGCATATCAGAGCAAAAACGGAGCCATTAAGTCAAAGGAATTGCCAGCAGAGACATAATTCTTAAATGGAAGTTTTTGATCAACCAGGGCTGTGTTTCCCAAAAGCATTTAAAGGCACTAAACCCATACTTTTATTTTTGGTACTTGCCGATACCGAGTACCGATACCATTATTTTTATTGCATTTGTAAAATTTTAAAATATTGGGTACAGAAACCAAAAGAGTATGTATAATGTTAGTTGGTTAAGTTTATTTATCAAATAGATACAGTCAAACCTAAATTTATTCAGACACCTTCAACATTTCTCCCATTATCACAGTTTATTCGCTATAGTTTAGAAAATGGTAATAAAATATAACAAGAACTCAGAGTTAAACGGAGTCAGAACAAATTCAGCTTGATAATGTTAGATAACTTTGACAGAAAGGTATGTAATGGATTACAATCAACCAAAAATTAGACGGCTGTTAGTATGACAGTATTTACACAACTATCAATACTTAGCGTTACAGAAGACTTCGCCACACACGGAACCAGCAGCGATCTATCAGCTAATCACAGAGGTTTCTGCCCAGGCCTCCATGTTAGCGTCTCATCAACAACAG